TTATTGTTTTATGATGACTATAATTAGATCTGGCATAAATCCTTGACATTTATGTGTAGCTGTGATTAACTCTCCTCAAATTCTGAATACTTTTTAAGCTGTCTACCTTGAATCTTTTGAGTTGTGATAATTGAAATCTCAGCTAATGTTACAGGAACTGGCAGACTATGTTTGTGTTTATAAATATTCATTTGATGCTCATATCGACTAATTATGGAACACTAATAAAGAAATGATTTTTTTTAAACAAACTTACATGTACCTTTTTTTTTTGCACACAGCACTTTTGGGGACCAGGTGAGTTTTTTGCTGTTGAAATATGTTAGCATATATGCATTAAACCATGTATGCATTTTCTAATCCCTGTTATTCCCTGTTTCTGTGTGCATTAAACATGTAATCCATTGCCTTTTCTAATCCCTGTTATTCCCTGTTATGTGTGCATTAAATCTGTACTCCATTGCCATTTCTAATCCCTGTTATTCCCTGTTTCTGTGTGCATTAAATATGTAATCCATTGCCATTTCTAATCCCTGTTATTCCCTGTTATGTGTGCATTAAATCTGTACTCCATTGCCATTTCTAATCCCTGTTATTCCCTGTTTCTGTGTGCATTAAACCTGTAATCCATTGCCATTTCTAATCCCTGTTATTCCCTGTTATGTGTGCATTAAATATGTACTCCATTGCCATTTCTAATCCGTGTTATTCCCTGTATTGTGTGCATTAAATCTGTACTCCATTGCCATTTCTAATCCCTGTTATTCCCTGTTTCTGTGTGCATTAAACCTGTAATCCGTTGCCATTTCTAATCCCTGTTATTCCCTGTTATGTGTGCATTAAATCTGTACTCCATTGCCATTTCTAATCCCTGTTATTCCCTGTTTATGTATGCATTAAACCTGTAATCCATCGCCATTTCTAATCCCTGTTATTCCCTGTTTATGTGTGCATTAAACCTGTAATCCATTGCCATTTCTAATCCCTGTTATTCCCTGTTTATATGTCCATTAAACCTGTAATCCATTGCCATTTCTAATCCCTGTTATTCCCTGTTTATGTGTGCATTAAACCTGTAATCCATTGCCATTTCTAATCCCTGTTATTCCCTGTTTATGTGTGCATTAAACCTGTAATCCATTGCCATTTCTAATCCCTGTTATTCCCTGTTTATGTGTGCATTAAATCTGTACTCCATTGCAATTTCTAATCTCAGCAATGTATTCGTAAAACTGACATACACCAAGTTTCTAAATATTTTTTTATCAAATTTGTTCAAATTTTGCATAACTGCAAAACATACAGTACAGTGTAAACATAACATTTAGCTCACTTAAGGTAGAATGCTAATTTTTGGCTCACTGTCAATCTTTTTATGAGTAAATTAATATGCATATAATACCATTTTATCAGTGGTTTCCATGCACCACAATGAAAACACACTCCTCATTGAAAACCTATTATGAATTTTTTAATACTTCTATACAAAGTATAATTGTAAAACACTATTACATTTTATACTTGTTCACCATATGTCAAAATTTTGTGATTTTGAGATTTTTCCTTGCCCTAGGGAACCATGGAAAAATGCCCTTAAACAGACAAAACATGCTATTTTTACTGTAATTTGTTTTTCTCAGAACTGAGTATGGTGACCCCCATAATTTTATATTTATCTTCATCTTTGTAATATTTCAAATATGTAAAAATAAATAATTAAAATAAGAATATTTTTACTTATGTGTAGCCTAAAGCTAGCTTAGCTTAGCTCCAAACTGTCACATACATTTTTGTAAATACTAAAAAGAGTAAGTTAAAATTATGTATGACAATCATTATGATACTTACTTTAAAACATGTTTATTGTTAAAAAAACAAAGCCAGCTTGATTTAAACTAAAACTGTATTGTAAAATTTGCCAATGCATGTAATTTTGGTACTGGTTTTGATGAACTTTAATTGTAATATTCTCTGTTTTGTTGTAATATGTATATTCAACCAAATACAATTTTATCACCGTAAATTTTGTTGCATTAATATTTTGCTAAAATATTAAGAAAATCACAGCCTGTGTGTATATCTGTTTCTATATTGACTGATTTGCTAAAACATTGCATGACTTCACATAAGTTTATTTTTTGAGTCATACCAAAGTGGCTGACAAACAGCTAGTTTTATCTATTACTTGAAATGTACCCAACCATTCTTTGGACACCCTGAGGGTGAATTCATAAAAAGTGCACTGAAATAACTGAAAGTGCACTTGTTGGGTCTCATATGCAAGGCATTTTGTTTTACAATCCATTATAACTATTGATTGCTTGGTTCTGTTTCTATATTTATACTTTTATGATCTCTTTTAGCTTATTAGAATATACAAAATATAATGACAATTTACATGTGTCCTTGATATTTATATTCACAACACTGCTTATGCACAAAATGAAAATAGCATTACAATCTTCACAGTCATGGACATCGCAAATATTGGCCAATTTGTTTAATTTTTTTTTTTGTTTCTCCTCAGTGGCAAATTGGGGAATTCCTTTAGCAGCCATAGCTGATATGAAGAAAGACCCTGAGTTAATTAGTGGAAAAATGACTTTTGGTATGTAATGATACTTGAAATCAATATTTGACTCAAACATTCAAGAAAAGAACTTAAATAAAGTGGAGCGCTGTCGTATGATTCTCAAAAATATATACAACATTGGGAAAAATGTTACAGACTATTTTGTAAGCAAAAAGTATGTAATGTAATATTGGTCAACATCAGTTTACCTTTGACTTTGTTTAATTTTCTTGATATCATCAATATCGTGATTAGCCGAGGTATTAATGAGTATTGTCTGTTTCTGTGAATTCAGGTTTCAGCCATAATCAGACTCAATTAAAACTCTAAATCGTCTTGTGGAGATCATTCTAAAGTTTCAATGGAGACTTCTAAATATTACATAAAATAAGTGAGAAATGTCTGAATGTGTGTGAACTACAAGGAACATCTAATTAAGTGTACTGTATGTATTGAAATATATTCAAATTTATACAGTGGCGTTTTGTCAATGATTTTCAACACAACTGAAGATCATTTTGGCTTTCCATTTGATAAAATTGTTCAAATTGTATTTTTCAAATAAACATCTAATAATGCTTTTACATGTGTAGATTTACAAAGATTCTTCTCTGTTCTGAAACACTACAAACTGTATTAATTTAAAACACTGACAAATATTGGGAATTCTTGCATATATCTTGCTATTCTTACATATTCATACATGTACTATTAAAAAAACTTTACAGATGATCCTCATAAACTGTAAATTTAATGTAGATGGCCAATCGCAGAAAACAAGGCAAAATAAACATTTTCTGGTTAAAGGATGTCATGATGATTTTTTTTATCCTTTCCGCTATTTATCTGTACACATACATTAAGAATACAAAAATGTTTTAATATTTAAATTTACCTATTCAGTTGATGCTTGGAATGTATGTTTAGGTTAACGTGTGCTTGTGTTATAATAATTATGTGTGTGTTTGTTTACAGCTCTATGTATTTATTCAGCTCTCTTCATGAGATTTGCATGGAAAGTCCAACCTAGGAATTTTTTATTACTTGCCTGTCATATAACTAATGAAGCAGCACAGATAACACAAGGTGCTAGACTTATAAACCATGGGTAGGTAGTTTTTGTTTTTTTCAATTCACCAGGTTTGAAACATGTTGAAAATTAAGACAGTAAAGCAACTGAGGCGGTTGTAAGACGTTTTAGGTATACAATGTAATTCTGTAAATCATGTTGAAATGTACAATTTTAACGATTTGATTCAATGCACAAATTTAAAGAATCCTAATTTAGGGAAGTCTTATGAGAGTCTTTCATTCAAATTTAAATAGCTACTGGTGCATATTGAATTAGTGAAATTAAAGATTAGTTAAATTAGTTAAATTAATAACATGCTACAGTACACCTATGGCGTAAGCTTTGGCTTCTTTTCGCTACAGTATAGTGACATCGCTTTCACTTCCACATAACATTGTGTCAGCCTCACATCAGCTTTGTGTCGTTTTTCTAAGTGGGAGTAAATTATTTAATGATCTCCTTCAACACTTAGCCTAATTGTATATTATGAACGACAACAACAGTATTCATTAGGCCAAACATCTCAACATTTTCATTGACCTACTATCTGATTGAAATTGACTGGAGAATTTCCAGTTTATTTCCAAACATACAAACCTGCATTTCTCATGTTCTCACTGATTAGTCCCCGTTCGGATGCAGTCCGAAAACGGGGACTTATGTTTTGCCCTGTGTGCGTCCGTGCGTCCGTGCGTCCGTGCGTCCGTGATCACCTGTATCTCGAACATGCATGGACCGATTAAGTTCAAACTTCACTCATACATCACACATTATATGGGACATATGCACATGCATTTTTTTCATGATCCGATTAACGATAGCCGAATAGCGGCCATTTTAAGGCCGAAAATGCATCAAAATCGCACATTTTCACCATTCCGGACCCGGATCTCAGTTATGCATAGTCGGATTTTGTTCAAATTTGGTACATACATTAAACATAATAGGACCTTGATGCACGTCATTTTTTTTTTTGGATCGGGTTCGAAATGGCCGACTGGCGGCCATTTTGTTTTAAAGAATTCAGTTCTGGATCCGTATCTGAGACATACTTGGATTGATCGAGTTCAAACTTCACACACACAAGGTACATCATGTCACAAATATGTATGTGCATTTGTTTCATGATCTCATTAACGATAGCCAAATGGGGGCCGCTTTAAGGCCGAAAATGCATTGAAATCGCACATTTTCACCATTCCGGACCCGTAT